GGTGCATTATTTTAGCATGAAGAGTATGTAGTGTAGAGGGGGTTTGAAGAAACTTTTTCCACTGAGATGGCAGTAGATATCTGGAACTTACTTCCTAAAAGGGTGTATTTAAATGAGCCTTTGAAAAACCATAGCAAACAGGGCTAGGAGGGGCCAAGTTACCCAGGTTCAGGTCTCACCTGCTCCAGAGATATCTGAACATTTTGAGATAAGGCCTACATGGCTACAGGCCAAGTGCTGGAAAATATGATTTGAATGGTAAGATGCATGATGACTGGCATGAACATGATGAGGGTAAAAACCTTTATTGGAGAATTAGGAGAGCAAAAAGGGGCCATGAAATGACCTTGGTAAGTAGGGTTAAAGATAATCCCAAGGCGTTCTGTACATGTATTAAAAACACAAGCGAGAACGTAGGACCACTCGAGGATAAAGGAGGGAACTTGTGCTTGGAGGCAGAGGATATGGGTGAAATGAGTACTTTACATCGGCATTCACCCAGGAGAAGGATATGGAGGATAGTGAGACTTGTGTGGCGCATGCTAATATGCTAGGGCATTTTGAGATCAAGAAGTGCAGTGGTGTTGGGTCTCCTCGAAGAGCATTAAGTTGGATAAGTCCCCAAATTATTGAGAGAGGCAAGAGAGGAAACTGCTAGGCCTTATCTCAAAATGTTCAGATATCTCTGGAGCAGGTGAGACCTGACCCTGGGTAACTTGGCCCCCCTAGCCCCATTTGCTATGGTGTTTCAAAGGCTCATTTAAATACACCCTTTTAGGAAGCAAGTTCCAGATATCCACTGCCATCTCAGTGGAAAAAGTTTCCTCAAACCCCCTCTACACTACATACTCTTCATGCTAAAATAATGCACCCTAATTACTGACCTCTCTCCTTTATTTGGCGGGGGAGGGGGGGAGAATCTCCTCATATGCTCCTCATATCTTTGTGTACCTCAATCAGATCCTCATTCTCCACTGGAGAGGTTCCAGAGGACTGGCGAGTAGCTAATGTTGCTCCTTTTATTCAAGGAGGGAAATAGAGATAATTCAAGAAACTGTAGACCAGTTTGCACAGACCTCTAAACCAGAGACCTCTCATTGGTGGATGGGAACCTGTTGGAGAGGATTCTTAGAGATGAGATTTATGCGCATTTGGAAAAGCATGGCATAATTAGGGACACTCAGCATGGGTTTATGCAGTGCAGGGCAGGAGATCTCTTACTAACTTGATTGAATTTTGAGGCGTTGACGAAGGTGATTGAGGGTAGAGTGGTGGATGTTGTCTACATGGATCTTAGTAAGGCTTTTGACAAAGTCCCTCTCAGTAGGCTCATGCAGAAGATTAAAATGTATGGGAACCACAGTGACTTAGCCAATTCTGAATTCAAGGGGCTTTCCCTAGAAGGCAGAGGGTAGTGGTGGAAGGTTGTTTTTCAGGTTGGAAATCCATGACTAGTAGTCTTCTGCAGGGATCCGTGTTCTGTTTTGTGATATGTAAATCACTGAAAACGTAAATGGTGAATTAGTAAGCTTGCAGACGATGCAAAGAATGGTGGAGTTGAGGATAGTGTAGAAGGTTGTAAAAGGATTCTGTGGGATCTAAGATAACAAGGTGTAGAGCTGGATGAACACAGCAGGCCAAGCAGCATCAGAGGAGCAGGAAGGCTGACGTTTCGGGCCTAGACCCTTCTTCAGAAACCCTTCTTCTGTGGGATCAAGATCACTTGCAGATATGGGCAGGGAAATGGCAGATGGCGTTTAATGCATGTAAGTGTGAGGTGCTGCGCTTTTGGAGATTAACTGTATTATTCCTTAACATTTGATTGGCAGGATGCTGAACAATATTGATGCACAGGTTCATAGCTCCCTGAAAGTGGCCACGCAAGTTGATAGGTTGGTGAAGAAGGCATGTGGCATGCTTCTCTTTAGTGGTCGCGGAATTGAGTACAAGAGTCAGAATGTCATGTTGCAGCTTTATCAGACTTTGGTTAAGCCACACTTAGAGTACTGTGTTCAGTTTTGGCAACCACATTACAGCAAGGATGCAGAGGCTTTGGAGAGGGTGCAGCAGAGGTTTACCAGGATGCTGCCTCAATTAGCGGGTATGAGCTAAAAGGAAAATCTAGAAAAACTTGGGGTTTTCTTCTCTGGAGTGGTGGAGTCTGAGGGGAGACTTGATAGAAGTCTTTAAAGTTGACGTGCGCGTATAGGGTTGACAGTTGGAATCTTTTTCCCTAGAGCTGAAGTGTCTAAAACTAGGGGGCATGTATTTAAGATGGTTGTGTGGGGGGGGGGTTCAAAGGAGATATGAGGGGCAAGTTCTTTTACACTGGTGGGAGTCCAGGGGTGGTGGAGGAGTCCAATATGATGGGGGTGTTTAAGAGACTTTTAGATAAACACATGAATATGCAAGGAATGGAGGGATAAGGACTGAGGGCAGGCAGAAGGGATTAGTTTAATTTGGCGTCATATTCAGCACAATATCATGGGCCAAAGGGCCCGTTCCTGTGCTGTACAGTTTTATGTTCTATCTGTGTTGTAAGAATTTTTGACTGTTTAATTTTTCCATAGCTTCCCAAAGTAGGCAGCAGGACCCCAGCTGTGGGGAAAGGTTTGGAAAACATTGCTTTATCCATTGAAGTGTTAGAAAGTACAGTCTTTAATTGCAATTTAAAAATTAGTGTCCAGTAAACTTATGGTAAATCTCCTTTGCTCCTTCTAAAGCAAATGCACTGTTCCCAGAGTGAACCAGTCCAAGTGGGATTACAAGCATCTAGGCAGCAAGTGTCACCCCAACTCTTCCTCCTCTTGGTCTTTTCCCACCCATCACCACTCATGGAGTCATTCTGATGGTTTTCAAGGCTTGAAATGGGGTCACAATGTGGATAGACCTTCAGAAGCACTGAAGTGTACTGTTTTCCCCATAGTTTTCAAATCTAATGGCAGTGAGATGGATTGGGTTCTGAAACATAGTGGTACCAGCCATCCTGATACTTCCAACGATGGTACAGTACGACTCCGTGGGCTTCCGTTTGGCTGCAGCAAAGAGGAAATTGTTCAGTTTTTCACAGGTATTTTTCATTCATTCAGCTAATTAGATAAACTTGTTAATTTTGTAAGTTATTAGCTATAACTTCTAGTGGGTAAATGCTTTCAAACTCTTATCTGAAATGTTTAACTGCTAATTTTCTAAAGTGTATTTGTAATGTAAATTCTAAGTCTTAGACAACAATAGCACAAATTGCAAATTATACTTTTACTGGAGTTTAGTATTTGATTCTAGTTAAACAGAAGTGTTAGAGTCTAAAGCAAGAAAGATACAATACAATGTCTTTATGTTTGTGACATGTACCTAAATGTAACTTCAGAATATCTGCATTCTGACTTGTATATAATACTTATTCATCTGATTATAGTTGGATTTCAAAAAAATGGAGTTTGTTTCCAACCTTTACTGCGTGTACCAGAGCAGTTTAGTTTTTGAGTTGTAATTGAAATGAGTTTTAAAGCTGAATTGTACTCTTTAATTATATAGAAGCTGAACACTGAGAAATCAGTATGCAAGTTGGGTCACTAACATAAAGCTGTTTTAAACTGTCTTGAAGTTTTACATATAGATCATAAGCATTTTACATTTTATCTGTTGGTAACTGGGCTTTTAATCTTTTATATTTGTAGATATTGTTGGGAATTGTGCATCATTTAATATTGTTCCCCTTGATGGGGTTATTTTGTCCTTGGGTTAAAGGGTTGGAAATCGTGCCAAATGGGATAACTTTGCCGATGGACTACCAGGGGAGAAGCACAGGGGAGGCCTTCGTGCAGTTTGCTTCAAAGGAGATAGCAGAAAAAGCACTGGGGAAACACAAGGAAAGAATAGGGCACAGGTGGGGATGGACGGACGGGTTGGTTATTCATCTTAAAGTCAAGTTTAAACGCTGGGTGCTGGTATATGACAATGAGGCTGGGACTACACACTGATCTTGCACTCAGTTAAGAACAATGTTCATACACAAATGAAAGATGGTCTTTATAGAGCTGTTCTATTATCCTAAGATTCCCTGGTAAAAGCTACGCATGTAGCTTGATTGAGTTGTGCCAACTAAAGTAGTGATATGTGATGAATAAATTCAAGTAAATTGGTTTACCAAAAAACATCCAACAAAATGACTAACAAATGTTTTGCCTATTTCTAAGTCTCACAGCTGCCTCAAATTCTAGGTGGCTTATGATTTTGTATCCCAGTGCAAGTCATATTTGGAGTGCTGTGTAAATCTTGTATGGCTGAGGTGGTTGAGCCATTTTAAAAAAAAAAAAAAAAAAAAATTGTGCATTGGCAGTAAAAATTTCGCCACCCCAACCTGATACCCTGCCATATTGCCAACACAGTGCTTGGTCACTTGTGTTCAATGCTCAACAACACCTTGTTAATGCACTGTACGTTTGCTGTCTTGACGTGTCCCTTCCCCTCCTGTCACTGCAACCTTTGAATTTGCTGAGTGTGCCCCCCTCCAGTTTCAGTCCCAGGCATTGCCTGGAGCTCCCTTCTATTTTTCAAGTTGCAGATCAGTGAATGCCCAAGATGATCCATAATGCTTTATTGTAACTACAACTATTGCAATTGTATTTTGCTAAGCCATGTTTTCATGCATTAGAATCCAATCCATTGTTGGCCTCCAACCTTTGAGGATATTACTTAACAGAAGAATGGTATAAATGTTAATATATCAAAATAGTAATTGTTTGACTTTAAACAGTATGCTTGCCATTGAGAAATCATTGTTAAAATAATGCATATCATGTAGGAATCAATATTAAATTGTGTAGTGTTGGTGTGCACTAGAAACTGCTACTAAATTGTTGTAAAGTAAGCTGAGAAATGTATTAAATGTTTTACATTCACTTTCTTAATTGCTATCCAAAAATATTTTGGCAAGTGTTTGTCCTAAATGTTAATCTGTCCTCATTGTGGTGTAGGTATATTGAGATCTTTAAAAGCAGCAGAGGTGAGGTCAGAGCGTACTATGATCCACCAAAGAGGCTGATGGGACAGAGACCAGGTCCCTATGACCGGCCAATGGGGCGAGGTGGCTATTTTGGCGCTGGTCCCCAGCGAGGGGGTGTTTATGACCGAATGCGACGTGGAGCTGGAGGATACGGTGGTGGTGAGTATTGGTTAAATGCAAATTTGTGCTTTTTAATGTAGTTGAAATATCTGTGATATAATCCATTGTATATCTGTGCATATATGGCTTCATGTGCTGGTTGAAGCTCTTTAAGACTGATTGATTTATTTTTGTATAAAATTTATGATTATGAAGTTCCTGCTTAGAGGCACGTTATTGTATAAGTATGGCACACCCTAGCTCAAAATTACCCAGTAGTGACAGGACTGAGATGGAGGATACAGAAGTCAGAGATAAGCAAATGGCCCAGTAGATGCTCCTTCAAAATGAATCAAGCAGATTACACAAACTTCATTTTGGCAATTATATTCTTGCCATATGTAGTCTGAATGTCAAGTTTCTGACATCAAAATTCTTTCAACAACATTCCAAGTATTGTAACTCGGGAGGCCTGTGAATATACTTCTGTCTCCCTCGGACCAGCATTCGAAAAGAATTGTCATTAAAATGGAATAAATGAGATTTTTAGGAAAACTCTTCAAGGGGTGCTGAAACCTGATCATGCTTAAGTCATATAGTCTACTGCTCCTAATATTCTTGTAGGTAGACCTAAAGTAAAATGTTGTGTCCATCTCATTTAACAGCTGCTAACATATCTTTGGCTGTCAGTTTTTTTTCTGCCTCATTCAGATGATTTCACAACAAAGTCTAGAGCCTTTTTTGAAAGAATAGTTCAAGTCCTTTTCAACTTGAGAATGATTTAAGCAACTGTTTTCCTTTTACACTAATAATTGGAAGAAGTAGAGATTTAAATATTTATTTCTGTGTCCACCCATATATAACAAATGTAAAGGTTGAGGCTTTTGTGATGTGGGAGAGTTGGGGTCATGGTGGAACTGTGGCATAGGCAACCTACTGACTGTAGAATTATATAGCACAGAGGGAGGCCATTTGGGCCATTGTACCTGTGCCACTTTTGTAAGAACAGTCAATCCTACAGTTGTGCTGTACTGAAGTGTTTTCTTTTCCCAATTGCCTTTTAAACCAGCTGCTTCAGCCTCTCTTTTGGCCACATTACTTTTCCAAAATACATTAAGGGCAATGGAAAAACTCCCCATTTCTCCCTAGAGATATCTTAAGAATTTATTTTTGTAATTATGGATTCATCACAGTTACCATTTAGCGATGTTTTTTTAATTAAGTGATCATAGCATTCAGTTCAGTGAGCAGTGTATGAATGACTAGTGTTTATGATTTTTGTTTTTTTTTTTGCAGGGTATGGTGGGTATGATGATTACAATGGTTATGACAACTATGGCTACGGCAACGATGAGTACGATTGTCCTGGGGCAATGAGAGGCAGCAGAGGTATGCTTAACCTTTTGCGAGTTTTACAGATACAAGGGAAGCTGAATTTGGTTGCTGGGTTGGGTGGGGGGTGTGGCAATGAATGGAATCAGGTTTGCTGGTGGTGCTGGCATAAAATGTGAGGCAGAGTTGTATGGAGTCCATATTTCAGCTGTTTCTCCCTGGTGTTTTCCTCTCTTGGCATGGGAGCTCAGCAACTCATTCTTGGTGATTTCAACCTACGTCTCAATTTATCGAGTTTGCTTTCTCAAGCTCATTTTCTGCTTATCCTCTAAGTCTAAGGTTTCATGTAATCCCATGCCCAAACCCATATTCACTGAATCCTCTTGATTTTTTCATCTCATGTAGGCTTGCAAGGCTCATAAGGCCACTACTGATATTTTTTTTCCTTCTTTATCACATTTTATACTTCCCATACTTCCTTCTGTGTTCAGCCCTGGAACAACCTGTCCCCATTTCACCTTTGGCCCTTTATTATTGATTCATGCAACCACTCTCCCACCTTCATCTTGTTACTGTTACTAAAAGAAAAATCTGCAGATGCAGGAAATCTGAAACAATTTGCTGGAGAAACTCAGGTCTGGCAGCATCTGTGGAGAGGAAGTAGAGTTAGCATTTTGAGTCCACTGATACTTCTGTCAGATCTGCTGAGTTTCTCCCAACAGCAGTGCCTGTTTTTTGTTTGAACCTATTAATTGTCTCCCTGACCGTTCTCTCAATACAGCTCTAGTCTCTGGGATGGTAAGATTTAGCTAGTATGAGTGTTCACGTCATACAATCCCTGCAGTGAGGAAACAGGCCCTTCGGCCCAACAAGTCCGCACTGACCCTCAGAGCACCCACCCAAACCCATCCCCCTATAACACACCTAATGTACAAATCCCTGAACACTACGGACAATTTAGCATGGCCTATCCATCTAGCCTGTACATCTTTGGACTGTGGGAGGAAACTGGAGCACCCGGAGGAAACCCATGCAGACACTGGGAGAACGTGCAAACTCCACACAGACACTGGGAGAACGTGCAAACTCCACACAGACAGTTGCCCAAGGATGGAATTGAACCCGGGTCCCTGGCATTGTGAGGCAGCAGTGCTAACCACTATGGTGCTGATATGTGGCTGTTGCTAAATCTTCAGAATTGTCTAATGGAAGTTTTGAATGCGCAGAAATTACCCTCCAATCAAATATTTGGAAAACTGAGCACAATTTTGGTCTTTTCTACTAACTCTGTCCAACTGTTGCCAGCAGACAGATGGTTTGTTTCCTTCCTTGGTGTCATCTTTTCATCGTGCATCAACTCTGATACTGAGACCACTCTGGAGTTGTGCCTTTGATTGGGCCTTTGGTTATCTGTAAGGCATTAAGATATAGGATCAGAATTAGGCCATTCAGCCCATTGAATGCTCTGCCATTTGACCATGGCTGATGTTTCTCTTGAACTAATATCTTCTCATATGGCTCAGTGTCATACTTTGTTTTATAATGCTGCTGCGTCGGTGTTTGATTATGTTAAAAGTCAATAAATCTGTTGTTTTGAAAGGTATGAGTAACCATGGATATGGTGGGGCTGGAGATGCCAGCTCAGGCTACATGAGTGGACATTTCGTACACATGCGGGGCCTGCCATTCCGGGCAAGGGAGGATGATGTTGCTCATGTAAGTTCTCAGTGGTAAATCACAGCTGTTTGTAAACTGCATGACTTTCCTTGTCTTTTGCGCTTACTAAAGTATCTTCTGTTGCTTAAGTTAAAACCTATGGAGTAATTTTGCCATCTTGTTCATCTTGTAGTTCTTTTCTCCCTTGAATCCTCTACGTATTCACCTGGAATATGGAAGTGATGGTCGAGCTACAGGGGAGGCTGATGTTGAATTTGCAACACATGAGGATGCAGTCGCAGCCATGTCTAAGGATAAAGCTCACATGCGTACGTTTGTAGCATTTAATGCTGTCATCTGCAACCAGAGAGGTTTTGGGTAGCTGAATTGTATGGAAGAAGTTTCTAGGTTTTCTGACTGTTTCTGCTGAATCTGGTTTTTGTTGTTCCAGTGGGCGATCCAGAAATAGCTTCCATTTCTTAGTCTCGGATATAGCCAAGGGATTTGTACAAGCTGGCATCCACTAGACAAGTGTGACTGCTCCTGTACTTGATCCACATAGCTATTGATACCCCCATCTAAGAGAGAGCATTGGCTATCCAGGATACTGTAAACAAAAATACCTGTCGAAGACTGAAGGGGTAAAGTTCTTCCATAATAATTATACCTATACGACCAGTTAGCTAGAAACTGGGGACGCTCACGGGCTGAAAGGTTGCCTGGAGTTGAAAGAGTTTAACCAGACTGAAGATGTTTCTTGTCTTGGGTAACTGCTACCCAACTTGAACATCCGGAAATGAATCCGGTCCCAATTCATGAAATGCTCTGACTCCCACAGTAAACTAATTTGAGTTTTTATCTATAGTATAAAGAACTGCAGATGTTGAAGATCTGAAACTGAAACAAAAACAAAACTTGCTGGAGAAAGTCAGCAAGTCTGGCTGCATCTGGAGAGGAAGCAGAGTAAATGTTTCAAGTTCAGTTCTTCAGAACTGTCCTGGAGAAGGGTCACTGGACTTGAAACTATATTACATTTCTAGGAGCTATGTGTCCTTTTTAGGCTATTTCAAAGGATTATTCGGATAAACTGCATTGTGGTAGCTCTGGAGTGGCATGTAGGCCAACTTGATAACAGATTTCTTATTTGAAAGGATTTTATAAATCAAAGAGTTTATAAGTCAGCAGCTTTGTGGTGTTTTTCATTGGTATTAGGTATGTATTCAGTTTAATTTAAATGCTCAAAATTAAGGAATGGGATTTAATCTCTGGATTATTGGTCCACTAACTACACCATCATATCTTCAAAATTAACATACTAATAAATGCCTGAAAAAGTACTTGGGTAAATGCTGTGTGGTTTAGGTAGCTTGCAGGATCTTTTTGTTACTTGTTGGAACACCTGCAAAATGTGGAGGGGAACTTTCCTCATCAAGGCTTTAATTTAAGATGCTGATCATGTTTCAGAGCATCGATACATTGAGCTGTTCTTAAACTCCACTGCGGGAGGAGGATCTGGCTATGGCAGTAACTATGGAGGCCATGCAATGGGTGAGTTGAATTTCAAGCCTGCTCTGACTTTGTTTTTTTAAAAATCTCCATATGTAAATCTAAAGGCTTCTTGTCTCCTTCAGGGAACCAGGGAGGCTATGGGAGCTCAGGGAACCATGGGATGTCTGGTTACGCTGGTTATGGTGGCCAGAGCAATATGGGCTCTTATGGTAAGGAAAGATGCAATCAATTATTTCAACTTCAACTGTTAAGAATATAAACTAATTAACTGCCACTGGATACTCTTTTATGTTGCAAGCAGGGTCTTCCCAAACGACGTCCTACTGTGACTCTGAAATGTTGGTTTTGTCGACAATAGTTAGTCTCCCAGCACAGATTCAGACCCATCGACCCAACTCATCCACGCTGACCAGGTTTCCTAAAATGAACTAGGCCCACATCCCCTCTAAATCATTCCTGTCCATGTACCTATCTAAATGTCTTTTAAATGTTGCAGTTGTACTCTGCTCAACCACTTCCTCTGGCACTTCATTCCATACACGCACCACTTACTGTGGAAAAAGGGCCTGTCAGGTCCCTTTTAAATCTTTTCCCTTTCACTTTAAACCTATGCTGTCTACTTTTGGACTTCTCTACCCCAGGGGAAAAGATGGCAGTATTCACCTTATCTATGCTCCTCATGATTTTATAAGGTCACCCCTCAACTTCTTCTCCAGGCAGAGAAAGTCCCAGCCTCTCTTGAAAACTCAGATCTTCCAGTCTCGATAACATCCTTGTAAATCTTCCTTGTACTTTTTCCAGTTTAATGACATGGTACCTATAGTAGGGCAACCAGAATTGTACATAGTACTCCAAATCTGACCTTACCAATGCCTTGTACAGCGGTAACATGACATCCCAACTCCTGTACTCAGTGCTGTGACCAATGAAGGCAAGCCTGCCAAATGCCACCTTTACCACCATGACTACCCATTATGCAACTTTCAAGGAATTATGTAGCTGCGCTTCTTGGTCTCTCTTTGACGTCCCCAAGTCCTGCCCTGGGTTTGTCTTATCAAAATGCAACACCTCACATTTATCTGAATTAAACTCCATCTACTATTCCTCAGCACACTGGCCCAGTTGATTAAGATGCTGCTGTACTCTTAGATTACATTATTCACTGTCCACTATACCAATAATTTTGGTGTCATCTGCATTGTTTATGTAAATGGTGAACAACAACTCTCTACTACCACCTTCTGTCTCCTTCCTTCAAGCCAATTTTGTATCCGGTTGATTAGCTCTCCCTGGATCCCATGTGATCTTACCGTACAAACCAGTCTACTATGTGGAACTATGTCGAAGGCCTTGCTAAAGTCCATGTAGACAACATCTACCATCTTCAGAAGACTCATGAGATCTTCGAGCTAGCAATCATTCATGTATTTGCTGTCCATAGCACTGTTCCACGGTTCAATGCCGATTCAGAGTATTTCCTCCATTAAAATCCCATCCAAGGAAGTCCCCAGATAAAAGAATACTGAACTGAATGACTAATCAACACAAGGCCCTACTGTATTAACTGAATTTGGAGGGTGGGTGGGATGGGGTAGTGAATATTTAGTCTTAGTCTCCTTTAGCCTCGGTTTGTCAGCCCAAACAAATACCACTCGCTGTTTGGGGGAGCCCCTTGCTGTCAGATTGTCCATTGTGTTTTCATTTCTAGTTTGTGTGAATTAACAGATCAAATGCTCCGCAGTCCCATTGCATAGTTGTGATTGGCAAACAATCAGTAAGCATCTGGAGAAGGCTCCACAAAAACCCCCTTTGTCACTGGTTGGGATCCCAATACATTACAGTAAAAGATGAGGCTGGCTGACTAAACTATTGAAGGTCACTCTTTTGGCCAAATTTTGAAACACCTTAAGAGTAACTGGAGGTGTATCTGCAGCAATTCACCACTAGCTTGGCAACAAAAGATTTATAAATTCCACAAATGAAGTAATAGAGGTCAGCTTAGATTTAGTGTATGTGCACCTAGCCATGGATTTCTTTTTTAAAAAATATCTTTGAATCAATATTAGTGATAGAGGCATTGATTAATCAAAAAATATTTTGTATATTAGTTTTCACCCTTACAGCTGTCCCAGCTTTATATAATTTGGCAGACGATTAATAATTGCAAACAAAAATTTGAAGGCTTTATGATTTAATTCTTCATTCTAGGTCGTCACGGTGGAAACAGCAATGGTGCTGGGGCATACTACGGCAACTCTGGAGGCATGGGAATGGGGAGTAACATGGGAGGAATGGGGAGCATGGGAGGGAGTGGAGCCTGGCGGATGTATCAGTAATTCTACAGTCCCAAAGTGACTGGCCACTTGTAGACATTTTGTTTTCATATTCTGCAGGACGTACTGTTCTGAGTCAATAATATCCCTGCTCTGTTGCTATAATGGGATCTGTACACAATAGTTTGAGTTTGTGATAATGTTCCTTCAGATTTTGATTTCATTTTTGGCTTCAATTTCCTTTTTAGTGTAAGAAAATTCTCATTAATATTAAAGTGTAATAAAAGTTTTAAAAACATATGAAATGGTTCTGTGGTTTGCAGGTCCTGAGCCTATGTTTGAGGTTTTAAAATATTAAAAATGTAATGTCACTGTGTATAAAACATGAGTTTCTACTGTATGAATGTCCTGGTTAAGCTGCTGTCAAATTCACCACTGATCTATTTTTAATTCCAAAAAAGCTAATGCTTGCACATGTTCCTTTTGTTTGCAGACAGATCCTGGACTATGAATATCTAGCCAGCAAGCATAAGCAAACTATGTTGTGAGCCTGACTTGTTTAAATTGGTTACTAGTATAATTTTTGGCACACCTGAATTGCTTAAGTGTCCAATCGCTGAGTCGTATCTAATGTTGGACATTGTTCTAAAATTTGCAAGTGTAGTTAAAGTGATGTGCTGTTTGATAAAATCACTGGAACACAAGGTCTCTGTATGTGGTATCACACCAGCACTGACAATCATGATACATTATCCCAACCATAGAAAAACATATACTGAGTTGACTGCAGCAGTCTGCTAGGAGAAAGTGGAGGGCAAAAGCAAAAATATATGACAAACCTTTAACTGATGAGAATAGTTACACAGTAAGTAATTGCAATTTTTTTTTAAAAAGTGGAGTGGCTAGAGATGACAAAACTGAATGAGGTTGAGGATAATGGAACAAGTGGTGAATGGGCATATATGGCAGCTACACTACAGTATAGCTAATTATGACATTGACAACAGAAAGGAACACTTAAGTGTTCAATGTAATTTAAACAGAAGGCATGGATGTACAAAGTCAGTCAGTGAAGATAGGCAGGTTGAGGAAACAGGCAGGTAATTAGTATAGTAGACCTACATTGCAAGAGGATCAGTGTTCAGAAGCACAGGCATTTCATCAGTTAAGCAGGGCTTTGTTGAGATCACACCAGCAGTTTTGTTGTCTACCTAAAGACATACTTGCTAACAAGGAGACTGTTAGATGAGTTGGAATTACTGATTACAGGCCTAGTGAAGCCAGAGTTTTGGAAGGAGATAAGGGGAATCTGATTGAAATGCAGAAAATTCTTAATGTGACTGGACAGACTAGCTGGGGAAAGTTTTTTTTTCCCTGGTTTAGAACAAGCAGTTAGTGTCAGAATAGAGAACCTTGTGGACATCTCTACCATACAAAGCTCTGCAGGCTAAGTCACTGCTCAAGAAAGAGATAATTTTAAAGAGAGTTGCAGGATTGGCTGCAGTTGCTTTTAGAGAAGGGAACATGATAGACTTCAAAATGAAGGGGCAGTTAATGAAAGCTTGTTTTGAATGATTAAGAACCAAGGAACACTAGATTAAAGTAGGTGGTATGGAGAACCAGATGCAGGAAGGTACTTGCAGTGTTTACAATATGGCATGCTAACATGTATTAAGGGCAGGTTCAATCATGGGTTTTAATTGCTAATGGGGGTCATTTAAGAAGAAAGCTGCACAGTGGCAGGGATTAGTTATGCTGCATGTAGAGGCTACACAGATAATCAGCCAAATGGCCTGCTGTAACCATTCTATGATGCTACAGACACTGATCAGTTACTTTTGAGAATTTCACAGGCCTGCTGTGAAGCCAGTAATTCCTGCCAGATTTGTAGTTGATGTGCAATCATTTCAACTTTAAAAGCACAAGTGCTGAGACATCTATTTACAAGATTTTTTTCCATTTTGGTCAATGTTACACACATTGTGGATTTCTACACAAAGGACATTTGAAATCTGTTCATCCTCTGCTTTCTTGGCTATTTGATAGAATCTGCAGTGTTATTGTGTTGTCACCAACTGGGACGGTTTTTAGTCAGAGAGCGCCAAATAAGGTCTGGATTAGAATCATGTTCTCAGCCTCTGTTTATTCAAATGCATCACTACTCCACTCAAACCAAGTGAATGAGTTGTAGCTATGCTACTTTTAACAAGTCAGGACATTACTAGCAGCAGCAACTCACCTTTGCGTTCAAGCTGTGCTTGAAAAACTAGTATAAAAAGAGTTGTATATTTCTTTAATGACAAATTTTTGAACAGGTAGATTTTAATATAAAATCACTACTGCCACAACATTATTACACACCACTTTTCACTTACATGGTGATGTTTAACAATCAAATGAATCCAGAGAAGTCAAGAGAAATACTATCCCATTGTGTGCTCCTCAGTGCAGTCTGAAAGGCACAAACAAATCAAACCCATACAGTTCAGCTTCTCAGGCGAACACTGAATTAGTGAGTATAATTACTGTATTTAAATACTTTTGTTAAGTGAAAATTATACAGACTTAAGAGTGACTGCCATTCTGGGAGAAGAGTGCAGCACTGTCTAATGTTCTAGAAATTATACTGATATAAAACTATTAGACCTAATATCAGAAACTCAAATACAGGAATGTTGGTCATTATGAGCCCATGTAGAACTGTTACATTAATGACAACATTTTATTCCAAGTTAATGTCAGATGCACACACGTCATCTTGCCATGACAGTCTCTAGGCAATGTCCCCAGGCCACTAAGATCAGAGCTAGGGATATGCAAAGAGAAATGCTGTACAGTTCTCCAACAACTCCATTTTGCTACTTGAGATCTTGTTCACACCAGCACTTTTAAATTTGAATGAGCTCCATCTCCATTCACATGCTGACCTGCTATGGCTCAGCTGGCTGTATAAGAAACTGAAGGAAACAGCCAGGAAAGGGATCTGACACTTGGGTTGCCACTTACTGACAGCAACGTAATTATACAAATACAGTACTTCCTCCTCGTAACAAAGAAAGACTAGGAATGAACACAAACTTCATCCAGTACCATTCGGTACTTCACTGGAGGTGAAAGAGGTTCCACTAATAATGCTTGGTTGTGATTAGCAGGTCAGTCTACAATAGTTTACACAAAAACAACCAGTCTACCTAGTTATTATTCATTAGTTGCACAGCAATTTAAGGAAAGTGGCAGGCATTAGAAAAAAGTGAATTTGTCCAAAGATGTAAATTCTGTCTTAGCAGTATGAGGTTGGGTCTGGAAATTCACGTGGTGGAGGAACATCGTTGTAAGAGCAGTGCATGGCAGGTGTCACACACACGCACAGGTTTTGGTGAGGAAGGTAGAGGAAGCTCATTGTCAGAGCAGGCATTGCAGAAGATTTCCCCGCAGTTTCTGCAGTGATGCTGAAGACAGGACAATGACAAATCACATCAACAGTGCTGCAGTTACATGAATATATGTTAAAAAAAATCAAAGCTCTTATCTCATCAGCAACATTTCAATGGTGCATTTAACATGGAAAAACATACCAAATGGCATTTCATGCAAGAACCATCTTAGTCAAAGCAGCAAACATTTGCAGTAGCTTGGTCAGATACCAGTGGTGTACTAGAGTTTAAGGATAGGGCAAAAGGCACTGAACACAGCAAATCAGTTGTAACCATATAGAACAGTAGGGTAGGCTCAATGGGCCATTCTTGTTTCTATTTTCTAGTAATGTTATGTTCCCATGTAAGTAATAAGGAGATGGTGAAATTGAGGGAGAAAATTTGTGTATTTAGGGCTATTAACTATAATAAAGGGCCAATGATGGTGGTGGCTGGAATTGGCAAATGGTTAAAAAGGCCAGGATTTGAAGGAAGCAGAATTAGCAAAGAACTGTAGGGCTGCAGTGACAAAAGGAAATATGACCACATGCGGATGTTAAAATGAAAAATGATATTTTCACATTTTACAGTCTTAGGTCAGCCAGATTAAAGATGGTAGGTGAAAAGGATTGGTATGAAATTAAGACCGCAGAATTTGGATGAGCTGGAATTTAGAAGATAGAATCAGGAGGGCAATACTGAAATAGTGCAAAGCTTCAAATGAGGGGTGCAGCAACAGCTGACCTTAGGACAGAGTTGGCAAGGTGGTGTAGTGAATGATTACAGCAGATACAGAAGCACAAGTTCATCTCAGCTTCAAACATGACAATATGTTGATTCAGCCTCAGGCAATTTTTAAAAGAGTTGCATGGAGTCAGCTGGTAAGGAATGGAGCTTGTGGTGGGAGCTACAGTGGCTTCAGTTTTGACAAAAATTAGTTGTAGGATATTTTCACAAATCCAATCTAATGTCAGACAAATCAGACACTCTCATGGATTAGGTGCTGGGGTCTTGTGTAGATGTGGAAAGGGAAGTGATTATTGATCATATCGATTTATAACTTTGATAAAGGTTGTTTCAGTATTTAGATGGGAACAGAAACATGATTGAAGGAATTCAAAAGCAGGTCTCAGACAAAATCAGTACAGATTTGGGAAGCGATAAGTTGCAGGAGTGCAACTTCCCAAACTTTCATCTATATTCCTCAGACAGGAAAACTGTGACAGGAGTGGAATCTGCTGGGAGCTTTCTGCTGAAACTAATTGTCTACATTTGGAGCTGAACAAGGTACAGGAAAGCTGAAAAGCTGATTTCCAGCATTCACAGTTCTTTGTCTTTGTTTAAGGTACAGGAAAGTGCCAGGTGTCCCAAGTCAGAGCACAAGCCTCAGGCAGTACCAGCACAAGGAGGGTGGAACACCAGTGGGAATAAACTGCACCTTGACAAACATTTCTAAAACAAGTCCCTGAACTATAAAATTAAACAGAAATCTCTAATGAATAATTAATCAAGTCCTCTACATGACCCCAGTAGCTGGGAAGCATTCTCCACAGGAAGGCAAACACCTACACAAGTTTCAATATTTTTTATTCTCAAAGCAAGTACATTTTCCTAATTCAGAAAACTTGTATCAAACACACCCCAGACTGGTACAGCATAAGATTATGAAGCTTTCTCTAGACTATCCACCTCAAACTCTCCAAAGATACAGACAAGGGGTTAGATACAGAGTAAAGCTGCCTCTACTCAAATTGCAAGCAAAGCTCCAACTACACTGTTCCCAACAAACAGTCCCAGGACTGAGACAACACAAGGCTGGATGTAGAGTAAACGTCCCTCTACACTGTCCCCATCAAACACTCCCAAGACAGTATGGGGTTAGCTAGAGTTCTCTCTATTCTTGAAACGAAAGTAAATCTACTATTTTAAAACTAAAATTAAAGCTCCTATTACACTTCCCATCAAACATTCCTAGGACAGCACTGAACCAGATACAGAGCAAAGCTCGCCCCACTTTAAACTGAAAGTAAAGCTCTCTTTTAAGCTGAAAGCAAGCTCCCACTGCATTGTCTCCAACAAAACACACCCAGTACAACTATAGCACGGAATCAGGCATAGAGTAAACATTCCTTCACATTGTCCCCTTTGAACAATCCTAAGCAGATTCAATATGGGATAAATACCAAATTAAGAACAGATTTCCACTGTGCATTCTCTCAAAGGGATGTTTTATTCTTAAGTGCTCATTTCATTCTGGAATCAGTTCAAAAACAGCTTTCATCAACCCAACTGGATCTGACTGAAGTTGAACGTTCACCCTGTTGAAGTGAGAGCAATACTCCATTTGATAAGATCAGTTACAGGACCAAGAAGCAAGCCATCCAACTTCCCAAGCCCGCAAATGAACTGGATCATGGCTGAACTATATCACGACTGCAACAACCCACCTTGGTTCCATAAATCTGAATACCTTTACCCAGAAAGCATCATCAAGTATGGTTTTGACATTTCCATTTGCTCCTGCCTCAGCAGGTTTTTGGTGGTCACAAGGTAGATGAGAAGTTCTAGGTGTCTGCTGTGAGTAGAAATGATATCGTCTGTGAATGACCCAGCTCTCATGCAGAGGTAAAGTATAAAATGCTGGAAATATTCAGCTGGTTTGACAGGACCTGTGCAAGTACTGTGCGGGAGGCAAAGAATAAGAAATGATGTGTGATAGGATAGAAGAGATTACAGAAGAGCTGGCGGTGCAGCACGGTCAAAAAGAACAGTAATACAACAAGTAAAGAAACAAAAATTACCTACAGGTGGTACAAATTACAGAATAAAGAACTGCTCTCTGAAAGCAAAATGACAAAAACACAGTCCAGAAGACTCTAAGTGGCAATCAAAAAAGTTAGCATGCCTTTCCTCAAGTTTTATTGCTACACTGCAGCAAGCTGAGGTCACAGATCAGAGTGGGAGCATAGCAGAGATTAAAATGATAAGTCAGTTGAAGCCCAGATACCCAATGAACAGGAATACTCCACAAATCTGTGTTTGATCTTCCACCATGTAGGCCACAGTAAGTGGTATTCAAATGACAAAGGTACACTTAATATTATTTCCCCTGGGTCTTATGGTAGGAAAGAGGCAAAAGATTACTTTGCACACAAATGGGAAAGAGCAGTGGGGAGGGTTGGGAGTGTTGAGGGTTTATGGACAGGCCAAGTGTGTCATAGAAGGAGCACTCTCTTCAGCACATTGAAAAGGAGAGGATGGAAGGATATACATGATAGTAACATTGCGTTAGAGGTGGCAAAAATGACAGGATTATCTGCTGCATAAGGGGGCGGGAAGAGGAGGAGGAAGACGAGGATGAGGGGAACCCTCTCCTTCTGGGAAGGAAGATCGGAAGTGGGAAACTGAACATGCCTATTGAGGTGGAGAAGGAATTCCTCCATTCAGGCACAGAGACACCACCTTAGAAGTGTTGTAGTTGATGGTTTCCTCATCAGAAGAGATGCGATCGAGACTATAGGAAATGAAGTCACGGTAACAATTGGAGTCAGTGGGTTGATAGGCAATCACCAGAAGTTGAAAAGGAGGGAGGGAAGAGTCAGAGATGGGATCGTGTAAAACAGAGGGTTTAAGAACAAAATGAGATGATGAAATTTTCCAGTTCAGGGCAAGAATAGGAAACAGCCTAAGTACAATCACCCAAACATTTTGCATCTTTATTTTGGATTTCCAGTATCCAGTATTTTGCTTTAATTTTGAAGTTAGGCCTACTGCTTCCAATGTCTTCCACCAGAGGAACTTTATCATTGTGTCATTTACCTTCCTTGTAGAGATGGAGAATTCCCTTTCACACAGTTTGCAGCTGGTAGCATCCCTGTCCTTCAGCCACACCAAACCCTGGGGATCAGAGAAACAACATACAAGTTAGATGAGATCTGAATGAAAGCAACCTGTTTCTGGTACAGGTTGTAAAGTAAATAAAGTGGCACCACTGACCAGTGGCTGAAGACCTTGTGCAGCGAAATAGCAAAGCACATAAACTAAAAGGCCCTAAATTTACAGATCTGTGCTTTGCTAAGCTCACTGAAAAGGGCCTCACTTTCAAAGTGAGGGTTTGCATTCTGGTCACCTCCACATGTCGCTCTAACTGTTCGTTGTTCTGTGGGAATGAAGTCTTTATTCCTTTAATAAATAATAATAAAACAATAAATAGAGAAGCTGACTGGAGACTCGGGTGGGGCGTTCCTGGCAGGACATCGGAGCAGTCAGCAAGTGGAGGGTGGCGAAGTGGCAAACAAAACTTTGTGGCTCTTTGGAAGTTTGGGGTATTTAAAGGTGAGCTTCTCTAACAGAGGCTGATCCAAACTGGCTGGAAGGCAAACAAAGTCCTTCAAGTGAAGAGGTATATTAACGTGAAATATTAGAATAAAGTAATCAGAAGTAAATGGACACTTGAAATGGGGGAGAATGGTGACAGCCTTACTAGAATAGGATCATGAAATTGTTGAGGGATCCCTACAGCTTACAAGCAGGCCATTTGGCCCATCGAATCCACACCGATCCTCGCAACAGCATCCCATTCAGACCCGACCCCCTACCCTATCCCTGTTATCTTGCATTTCCCTTGGTTAATCCACCTAGCTGACACATCCCTGAACACTACGGACAATTCAGCATGTCAATCCACCTGAGATAACATGGTGTAGAGCTGGATGAACACAGCAGGCCAAGCAGCATCAGAGGAGCAGGAAAGCTGACGTTTCGGGCCTAGACCCTACACCACCTCCCAAATCCCCAACCCTACCCAGGACCTTCCCCACAATGTGCCTGCCGCCAATGGCCATGTGACACTGTCGGAGCACCCACGGAGGACATTTTCTCTAAGGATGTCAATCCACCTAGCCTGCACTTCTTTGGCCTCTGGGAGGAAACCAGAGCACGTGGAGGAAACCTAGAGAGACACGGGGAAAATGTGCAAACTCCACACAGATCACCTGAGGGTCGAATCTAACCCGGATCTCTAGCGCTGAGGCAGCAGTGCTAACTCTCAGATTTAAGAGACCTACATGATAACATAGATAATGACTACAATGAGATGGAGAATACACATTGTTGGGTTTGGAGCTAATGTTACATAGCACTGCTTTTAACTTTAAATACCAAGCATAGGGATAACATGGTGCAGGTAAAGGTCACTTTTGAAAGGTGCTTTTAAAATCTAGGAGGGTTATGCATTTTCAAATTAAATGTTCAAAGCATAGTACAAAAGGTGGGAATTCGGCCTATTCCAGATCCATGCAAGATAACCTAGCCAATTCCTTCATTGCAGCTTTGCCAAGCACTCTGGATTTTACCTAATTCCCATTTGTAATTCACGAATGACCCTCCCTCCACCACACCCTCAGGCAATTCATCCTAGATCCTAACCACTCACATATAAAAATAATTTTCCTTATGTCACCATCAGTTTTATTGTCATTCACCTTAATGTGCTGTCTGGTTCTTCATCTTTAAACAATGGGAAGAGTTTCTCCCTGTTTACTCTGTTCCGGCCCTGCATGATATTGATACATCTATCAAATCTTCTCTCAAAATTTCTCTAAGGAACTCTCCAATCTATCCACATAACTGAAGTTGCTCCTTCAGGGCATAATTCTCAAATCTTTTCCACCCCATCTAATGTCTTCAAATCCTTCTGAAAATATACTACTGGACAAAAGTTAAAAGTGAACCTGTGACTTAAGTTGGACATAACCTCTCAGTACTCTATGTTCATACATCTGTACACCTTCCTCAACCTATCGTAAACATCTTCAATGATTTGTACACATTCACTCCCAGATCCCTCTGTTCCTACAGTCCTTTTAATTTTCTGTCATCTCTACATGGCTCCTATAAAAACTGATCACATGTTCGTCCATTCCACCAGTCTGTATCCTCTTCAAGCTAATCAATAACCTCTTCACAGTTCACAATATTTCCATGTTGTTTCAAATGAAAATCTTGAAATAGTGCCCTGCAGTCATTAGTATGTCAAGAAGAGCAGAGACCCACTTAGTGATTTTAATAAATTTGAATGTGGAATATTCTTGAATATTATCTGATTAAGCAAGGTATATGAGCTGAAGAAGGTTCCTGACATTGGAGAAATCAGAATTCTAGTTGGGCAGTTTGGTATTTTTTTTTGGGGGGGGGCGGGGGGGAAGAAGGTGTGGAGCAGAGAGAAGAATGGGGATTATGGAAGTAGATTTTGTCACATTGCGACTTGACGGCTTGAAGGATTCTTCAGAAGAAGATGGAGTTTCTAGTTGGGAATCGCCTGATTAATTCAGTGCTTGGTGATTGCTCACTCACTGTGCTTACCAACTAGAATGCTAGGCAAAACATTTCTCTCCCTGATCCCCCGCTCTGTTCAGAGATGTCATTACACAGCTCGATGGTTTTGTTTTAAAACCACCAAATCACCCATTACTAAATAAAAGAACGATTATCAAGCACTAACCATCAGAAGCAGTTCATCTGTAGCAAATATCCAGGAGGATAGGAAAAGAGGAGGAACCAAAGTAAAGTTGGAGGGGGGAGAACACCAATGTTAATCTCAACTCATTTGCTTCCAAACTGTTCAAAATAATTTAGCAACTGAGGCTGAATAACTGCTTGGTAATAACAGAACTTCAACATTCCAAAAGGCAGCAAAAAAATAAACAAAAAAATAAATCAGGTTGTCATCTCATCAGACCTGGGATGCGAGAAAGGGAACATAAATTTATAGCTTGAGAAGAGCAATCCAATTACCCCCACAGAATAGGCAATGTGGGTGAATATATGCAGCACGTGCAAATGAATCACACTAAGCCTGATTTATAATCTCATTGATTTCTGGTGTATAAGCAGCACGTGTTGTTGTTATGGCCACCAGTCTGATACCTGGCATCACACCAGCACTGAAAAGAATTTGTGTATACATCATACCTTTTTAAGAAAAGCTTAGGAAGATGACCAGTCCGCACTGCATTTGCCATGGCAACGCATTGAACAGAGTTTACCTGCCTAATTGGAGGTAGATCAGCTAATATTGAAAGATATTTTGCAATTCCATACCATGGGCCAACTAATTAGCATGCTCCTTCTAGCAATTATTGCCTCATTTCAAAGTTTGGTTTCTTGCGTCCCAATCCTGATGAGTGCAAGATGAAACGCTTTGTCTCTTAGTGCCTCTCTTTAGCAATGTTCAAATTAAATAGAGATATTTTCCCTCCACCCTGCCTGCCTCTCAGATAGGCTCTCAATCTCATGCCAGAAGTGGAAACTGAAACTAGTTCAGGTCATGTTTAAAAATATATTTTGGTGATTCAATCAGTAACAACCAAGTAATACTAATCATGTAATCGGATTACTGCACCACAAAGTTGGAGGGAGTGAAGTCCTCAGCTTTGACTCCAGAACACACAGACTATGACACCAGGTCCTGCTGATTACCACTAATTATCACTCCCCACCCTCCTCAATTGATGAATTAGCACGGCCCCATGTTGAACGCAAATGGATTAATAATTTTAGGCAAAGGTACAGAATGTACTCTGGATGGGAATTCTTCATTGTTCAATTACCATGAGCGACTTGGCACCATCACAGCTGACCAAGTTGACCAAATCCTAGACAACATTGCTACAGACCCATTCTAAAGCAGTTAGTGCAGGAGAAAAAAAACCTACTCGGCCTCACCAATCTACCATGATAGTATTAGCAAGAGTGACCTCTGCACAGCCTCTGTCGAGGCGAAGTTCCATCTTCACAATAAGGGCACTCTCCACACTGTGTGGGACTACTACTGTGTCAAACGATATAGATTTAGAATGGATTTAGCAACTGAAAATTAGACATCCATGAACCACTGCAGGCCATCAGCAGCAGCAGCAGTATTGCATTCTACTACAATCTATAACCTCGTGGCTCAACATTTCCCCCACTCTACCATTACCACAAACCGGGGGATGAGCCATGGTTCTACGTAGAGGGCAGGAGAGGGGCAGCACCGGAAATATCTAAAAAGCAGATGGCATCCAACAAAGTGATACAGAATGTGATAGATAAAAATATCAATCCCTCAATCACTAAATCACATTAAGTGTTCTCAGTCCTAACATTTGGTCATGACAGTGTTGGACAATTATGGGGGCGTGGGCAGCTTCATGAACATTTCCATCCTTAAACACAGCAAAGGTCAGCCAGCAGTGCCGAGCGGATGGACATTACTCAAATTCTGGCAAGGCTTACACAACATAAACGGGCTACAAAGCGAAGTCAAACAGAATCGCAGGCAACAATACATCCTTACCCGCCAAGCTCAGTGCATACTACTTTTGCTTTGAACAAGTCAGTGAAATTGTGTCACCTGTCCCAACAGCTTTGGATGAACCTGTCCCACAGTCACTGCCACAGACACTACCTCCACCTTCTTTAGGGTGAACCCACAGAGACTGGCCTGGATGGAGACCCCAGCTGTACACTCAGACCCTGTGCAGGCCAGCTGGCAGGAGTATTCGCTGACACCTTAAACTTCTCTTTACTTTGAAATGAAGTCCCTGCCTGCTTCAAGAAGACCACCATCAGCCCAATGCAAAAGAAAGAAAAATCATGCAGCGTGCCTCAATGACTACCACCCAGTGGCTCTGACCTCTATAAATTATGAGGCGCTTTGACAGGTTAGTCGTAGTTCACATCAACTCCAGTCTACCAGACTGCCTTAATCCTTTGCAGTTCACCTACTGGCACAACAGGCCCATGGCAGATGCCATATCCCAGGCCCTACGTTCATTCTTAGAACATTTGGACAACAAAGGATACCTATGTCAGGCTCCTATTTAATGACTACAGCTCCACATTCAATACCATAA